GAAAGCATCAGGGACAAAGTGCTACCACCAGTCCAGAGACACAGAGGCTCTTGGTGATCTGCAGCTCTGGGTTCTGAGGGGTCAACCTTTGGGGGTGGAGGGAAGTGATGAGGACATGGAATCACTATGCTGAAGGCCTCCCTTCCATTTTCACAGAAGCATTCAACTAGGAAAGGACTGAGAAAGATGCAGAGAGCCTCACACCTGTCTCAGGTTAGCAGAGGCAGCAATTCTTCCAGACCGTACACTGCTCAGCATGCTATGGGAGAATGTTTAAAAAGCCCAGAAGGCATGAATTAAAATCCTGGATGAGCCAATGTATGTGGCAGTGGGTTAGTGTAGAGTTAGAACTATCAAGAATGAAAGTCCCGGAGCCCACCCCTACAGACTGGTCCTTAGCTCTTGGTTTGACACCACCCCCCCCTCCAAATTATATTCTCCATAGACATCTCTGCTAATAATTTTAATGTATATGAACCTCAGACCACACTTGAAATACTGATGTTTTCACTTGGACAAGTTAGGTGCTCTCTGAGCCTCAGTTTCTTCAACTGCAAAATGGATCTAAAAACACTGACCCACATTGTTGTTCGGAAGAAGGTGAATTTTGTGAACGCTATAAAGTACTATAAGTATATAGAGATTATGTTACCAGAATTGTTGATATGAATGTTAATAATTATTCCCAGAAAATACATGAATTGTAATAGATGCTTTTTAAGTAAAATAATATAACTCAAAGGAATAGCTTAGAAAATTGCAATTTAAAGATCTACTTGATTTATGAGGAACAGGACATATCTGTCTTGATTTATATTCAGTCCCCAGTGCCTGACAGCAAGTAGATACTAAGAAATACAGTTAAACTGCAAAAGGAAATGCTAGCTCTTTGCTAAGTATCACATGACTTACTAATCCTCAGCTGCCACCTGAGGTGTGCTCACTTTCACTCCCACCAGCAGAACCAGTCCTGAATGCGCAAAGCATCGGGGACCTCCAGGAACTCTGACTTGACCAACACAGTTCTCGCTTTACTGAGCAGCAGCCTCCCACTCAGTACTGTCCTGGGCTTGTGGCCTCACCTGTGTTCTGCATTGTGTCTTCTGAAAACACAAACATGATAGAGCCACACTTTGGGACAGAGGAGGATTTGCTTGAATAGTGTCTCCTTGCACATGTCTTGCTTCTTCAAAGAAAGACACAGTGAGGTCAGTGAGGTCCCTAGCTGTGTTGTACAGATAATGTCCTTAAATCCCCTGAGGTTATCAGTTTCCCTGCCCCCAGGCCACGCTCCTATACTTACCCGTATTCTGGCACTTAATTACTCCACAGCAGAGAGAGAAGTTCACAACCCTGCTTTGTGTTCAATAAAAGGCAGCCTGCCAGGTGGAAAACACAGAGAAAGAACAGGTGAGCAGTTTCACTTCTCAGGGGCACAGAAAGGAGACCTGCTGACTACAGCAAGGGTGGCTAAATCTCCATGGCAACTGGGAAGCTGAACACTTGGGCACCATCACCCACTCCATACCCACAGCCTTCATGAAGACAAAGGACACACGTATCCCTCCTGAAGGCATTGATATCAATGCCAGGAGTGCCTTGTCAACAAATTGCCTAAATGTGGGATCTATCCTAGAGTTTTGTTATTCTTTAAAATTATAAGGAATCAATTAAGCTGCAGGTAATTCTTTTGTAAGAAAGAGTAATCTTTTCCTTTTTTCAACTCTATAGAACTACTGTTTATATTTATTTATTATTTGATAAATATTTCATGAATATAAAATGAATAAGAAACATTTTATCCTCAAGGGCTAATAGTCTAGAAGGAAAATAGGACATGAACAGAAATTATAATTCAAAAGAAGAGTGTGTGCCCTGAAAATGGTTCTGTAGACACTCCTCATGCGTAGATTAATATTCATTATTTCAACAATTCCAAAGTTATTGCAATGGCCCAGGGCATGATTGACTCCAAGGTGACTGAATTCCCTGTGGGGTAAGGCCAGGATGTGGGAATGAATCACATCACTGGTAAATGAACCAAACAGACTTCTCTCCACCTCAGCATGGCTTTGTTGTTTTCAGTTCACTGGCATATATGTAGCAACTATCAATAAGCACCTAAAGTGTTGAAAAATAAAGTGATATAATGACATTCTTAAAGATCTTACGGACTCTTATAAATGTTAAGGATTAAGGGCATTAGAATTTTAGGAAAGATACCATCTTTGGTAAAGAAGGTATGTGTTTTGAGAGGTGCTTTATGGATAAATGGCATTGAAATTGGCTTGGAATGGTTTGGGCATATTACATGGTAAAGGAAAGAGTTTTCCTATTGTGAGGAAGGGCATTAAATATAAGAAGACTGATACTTTTCTTTCTCTGACTAGCTTATTTTGCTTAGCATAATGCTCTCCAGGTCCATCGATGCTGTTGCAAATGGTAAAAGCTCTTTCTTTTTTATAGTAGTATAGTATTCCATTGTGTAGATGTACCACAGATTTTTTAGTCCAATCATTGGCTGATGGGCCTTTAGGCTGTTTCTAAATCTTAGCATCACATGATCTCACTCATTTGTGGAATATCATGAACATCATAATGACTATCCTCTAATTCAGTAGTCGGCAAACTCATTAGTCAATAGAGCCAAATATCAATAGTACAACAATTAAAATTTATTTTAAGAGCCAAATTTTTTAAACTTAAACTTCTTCTAACGCCACTTCTTCAAAATAGATTCACCCAGAATGTGGTATTTTGTAGAAGAGCCACACTCAAGGTGCCAAAGAGCCAAAGTTTGCCAACCACGGCTCTAATTGATAGAGTTGTTTCTCATAGGTCAATAGGTTAACAATTCTGATATTGTTATACATGTAAACTGAAACCCAATAATTAAGTAAATGGATGGTGGATATCCATGTTTTTCCCTGTAGGAGTTTATAGATAAGCAAGGGGAGGAAGTGAGAATGACCCATGTGGTGATGGATTAGGGTTGAAGACATCAGTCTGAACTAATTAATATTTAAATTAATATCGATAGATATATGCAGAAATATTTGTAAATCTATGTACACTAATCACTGTTTAATAAACATCTACAGATTTCCTTGTTCTATCACCTGAGAGGAAAGAACAGTTTCTTGAGAAGAAATAGGTGAGGAGGAGAAAGGGGAGGTTGGCTTGAAGAACAGATGTAGGCATTACCAAGCCTTAGTCTTCCTTTGAAGCTAACCTCTGCACTCTGAGCCCAGCTCAGCCAGAACTGTTCCTCTGCATGTTCCTTCAAACTTTGCCTACAGGAAGTGGGTGCCATCTCTCAGGCTAACTGGAAGCAGCATGGAAAAATCTTGTTTGCATAGTGTCAGCAGATGCAATGCCCAGCACTTAGCAATTCCCAATTGCTTGAAAATGCGGCTGAGAAAACACATGATCAATGTGATTCCTGAGGGTTATTCGGGGCCATCAACAAGTTATTCTGCACAACTCCAATTTTGTTTAATGAGAGTTTTTCTGAAGGCCCTTAGAACATGATCTTTTATTATGTAGATAATCAGCAGAGCCTGCTCATCCCTTAATGCGAGCAACTGAGATGGAGGGCTGTAACAGCTGAGATAAAATCATAGCTGTGCTGTGTAGCCCATTAGCTGGGTAGAAACTGCATCCTGAGGTCATAAGTAGTTATTAGCTAGTTAATGACAACTGCAGTCTAATCATTACATTTACATTTGATGAATAGGGATGAGGCCTGCTTTGCCTTTTCAGCTCTCAAACTATTTACTATAGTGTTTTAATATCCTGGGTGGTAAAATTTGCAAAATTGAAAAGACCCATCATTCCCCCTACCTTGAAAAAACATAGTAAATAAATATAAATGAGAAAACTACGTAGTTTTCTCAGACTATTCGGCCTTACAGTAACATCTGTCATCTGTATAGTATTCCTAGGGTGCTTCAGTCTCATTGGATGTGGGATTGAACTGGAACCAATGTGCTCTATATGCAGTCCTGTGACCCCAAGTGAGTCATTTAGCATTTCCAAGATTCAGTTCCTCACCTGTTACATGAGATTGCCCAGCTCTTTCTTACGGATCTTCCTGCTATGGCCCCAAGACTATATACTCTGAATGACAATAACAAATTAACACTTACCCTTGGTATGTTCTCTCCGGGGCTGCTTTTGAAAACAAACATTTCATGCATTGTCCTATTTTCCCAAATGGTCCTTGAAATTGAGAAATGTAAAATACTTGTTAAATTCAGCAATAACCCTTTTTCTCCTGTTGTAGACACAAATTAACCCACACTATATTGTTTTTGGTGGATTTAACCCCAAGGATATGCATTTTGAGCCTGTTTTCCTGTTTGTTTAACTAAGGGCTTCTGCCTTAATTGGACCTATTTGGACTAGAACATAATATTTGCTCGGGCAGGCTTCCTGCTCAGTATAGAAAACAAAACGTGATCCACAAATATTGAAAGGTACACATGTTCAGAAGTCTCAGGTTTAGAAAGAAATTAGGTCTGAAAGCATTAGTGTCAGGAGTGGAAAGTTAAGCATTTAGTAATAGTGAACTTGCAAATTCTGAGAAAGCCCATGTGAGTCAAGTTCATTTCCCTGCAGGTCAGGAAGCTGTAGTTGTATAGGTAAGGAGAGCTAAGCATCAGAGGGCAAACTTAGACATACTGCAGTCTCTCTGAGCTCCTCTGGACCTGTCAGCACCCACCTTCCAAGGTGGGTGTATGTGATGATAACACAGGGAAAGCACTGTGCAGAGCAGAGCCCCTGGCAGGTAGTACTTCACCAAGTACCCCTGGCACATAGTACTTTACCAAGTACTAGCGTCTTTGTGAGCAACGGTGGTGGGTGTCAGCATTGTGCAGAAAAATACCACCACCACCAGATTTGGGATCACAAAACCCCTGCTCTGAGTCTTGTCAATTACTGCGTGGAATTGGGTTAGTGACTATGTTTGTGAACACCATTTTTAACTGAAAAATGGATTTCAGAAGCATACTCATTTTAGTGTTAACTTCCTTGGACAGTGTAGAACCTGAAATGAAATAAGAATGAAGGTGCTTTGTAAGCTGTAAGCACTCTGAAAGTGTTCTTGCTTTGTCCTCAAGCATATGCCCCACAGCCTTGGCTCCTTCTGAGTGAGCGTTTCCCATGCCTCCTTCCAGGAAGGCTGCCACTGCCCGGGCCCCCAGAACTTCACCTGAAATGACTGAGTGAAAGTGCCCAGCGATTTGCTTGGGGGACCACACTCAGAGTTGTATTCAGAAGGCATAGAAATCTAATCAGATTTTCTGACTCATGAGACTGAGCAGCACCAAATGTGATTTGTCTGAGCATCTCTCTGGAGCGGCTGATAGGCCAGTGGTGCGATGATGTCAGCCTGGTGGCAAGAGCAGTTGGGGGTGGTCAGGTGGAGCACAGTAGAGAGCAGTCCATGGGAAACTCGGGAGCCACGTTCATGGTGGCCAGCTGACTGCTTTCCAGCTGTCTGGGCTGTGTGTTTTCACCTCTGAAAAGGGACTCATTCTGGAGGAATGGCCAGCAGCTGGCTGTGTTAGTGGGACAGAATAGTATTTAAATCCTTTTATGCAGTAAGGATGCAGGAGATAAAAATGTAATATACATTTCAGCGGGTAATCTAATTCATTCCAAAACTGGCGCCTCTTGCCACCTTAGTAAATGGAGAGCCATTATCTGCTCCAGGAGAAGGAAGGAGGTTGGCAGATGTAAAATGCTTTGTCAGGTGTGCGATTTGCAGGAACCGCTGCTCCAGAGTGATAGCAGGTTTCTTTCCATATTAGTTTATGTGTGGAAATAAAGTTCCAAAGCTTGGCCTGAACCCCACGGGTACTTTCAAATCAGTGGCTGCTACCCAACTTAAAGTTATATCACAAGAAAGAGTACCTTCCTAAGCCCAATGCTTTTTGTTTCTAAACTGCCCTTTTTTTACTTTTAAGAACAGGAGTTCCTTTCAAAAGCAGTTTTGTATTGTGGGTTGGAATAATGAGCTAGCTCATTTTACAACCAACCCACTTACAAGAGTGAGCGTGCCATGCTGAGGTTTGGCACATTCCTTTTTATTCAGTCATGCCACAGAGAGGCCAGGAGTTCTACTGAGGTATTCAGGAGCCACTGTACAGCAGGAGGAGAAAGAGAAAGGTCACATAGGAGGGGCAGCCTCTCGCTCCCAACCAGACCCAGCCCCCACTGCAATCATAGCAGCTCAACTTTTGTTGTTCACTGTATTGTGGCTCCTCACAAGATTTTTGTTTTGTTTTGTTATTGTCAAAAGAGGGTTTAGATGAAGAAAAAAAATATTAAATTTATTGGGATATGAAGAAAAAAATTATTAAATTTATTGGGATGACATTGGTTAATAAATTTACATAGGTTTCGAGTGTACAGTTAATCTATATATAGCAATAGCAATGTATGTTTATCATCCAAAGTCATTTCAAACTTATCTGTTTTTAGCCTAACATAGGGTCAGTTCTAGAGAATGTTCCAGGTATATTTGAAAGGCATCAACTTATTCTGTTGTTAGATGGAATGTTCTATAGATATCTTATATGTCCAGTTTTTTGTTCAAATTTTTTATCTCCTTATTGATCTTCTGTCTTGTTTTATCTATTTCTTAAATTGGAATATTAAAGTCTACAACTATTATTGTTGAATTTTATAGCCTTCCCTGTATATTTGGTAAAAAAAATTTTTTTTAAAAAATATATTTTATTGATTTTGTACAGAGAGGAAGGGAGAGAGATAGAGAGTTAGAAACATTGCTGAGAGAGAGTCTGCCTCTTGCACACCCCCCACTGGGGACATGCCCGCAACCAAGGTACATGCCCTTGACCGGAATCGAACCCGGGACCCTTCAGTCCCCAAGCCGACGCTCTATCCATTGAGCCAAACCGGTCCCGGCTTAAATTGGAATATTAAAGTCTACAACTATTATTGTTGAATTTTATAGCCTTCCCTGTATATTTGGTAAAAAATTTTTATATCATAAAATACTAGAGGCCCAGTGCATGAAATCCATACACTGGTAGGGTCCCTAGGCCTTGCCAGTGAACAGGGCTGATAGGGGCCTTCCTTTGTTCCATGCCACCCCTTGCTGGTCAGCGCATGTCATAGTGAGCAGTTCAACTCACAGTCAGTCAAACTTCCAAGGAGACACTTTGCACATTAGCCTTTTATTATATAGAATTGTTCTTCATTTCTAGTAACAGTTTTTGTCGTAAAGTCTGTTTTGCCTGATATTAGTATAGTTACCCAAGCTCTCTTTTAGTCGCTGTTTGCATAGTTTCTTTTAATATTCTTTTACTTTTGGCCTATATGGGTGATAATCTTAAATCTGATAGATGACGTTCAGTGGGATTGAGGTTCCTTTCAAACCATTTTGCTAATCTTGCCTCTTAACTTGAGAATTTAAGAAATTCAAATTTAATGGGTTACAGATAAGGTAGAATTTACATGTTATTTTTCTATATAATATTTATAGGTATCAGGTCTTTTATGTGTCCCTACTTCTCCATTACTGCATTTCAAGTGTTAAATAGGTATTTCTAATGTACACCTCCATCCTCTTATAATTTATTTTACTATATTTTTACGTTATTTTCTTAGGGGTTATAATTATGTCAATTTAAAATAGTTTGCATTGTTCAAATTTTATATCAATACTATACAAAAATTTTTCTCCTATATATCTTCACCCTGTTCTTTCTGCTGCTATTGTCCTATAAAGTAGTTCTGTACAGAACTACACATTGTGCATTCATGTTGACGGGCACACAGTTATTGCTGTATGCAGTTCTTTTCAATCCCTAGGCCTTGCCAGTGAACAGGGCCGATAGGGGCCTTCCTTTGTTCCATGCCACTCCTTGCTGGTCAGCGCATGTCATAGTGAGCAGTTCAACTCACAGTCGGTCAAACTTCCAAGGAGACACTTTGCACATTGGCCTTTTATTATATAGAATTGTGAGGGGGAAAAAGAGCTACAAATATTTATGTATACCCCCCTTGATAATTTATCTATGTAGTTACCTTAGCAGTGTTTTTACTTATGTGGATTAGAGTGACTTTCTAGAGTGCCTTCATTTCAGCCTAAAAGATCTATGTAGTCTTTCTTGTAGGACAGGTGAAGTAAGTGATGAATTCTGTCAGTTTTTGTTCATGTGAAATGTCTACAGTTCTTATTCTTGGAGGATGGTTTCTCTGGATGTGGAATTCGTGTCTTCTTAGCACTTTGAAGCTGTCATCCCACTGCCTTCTCCATGGTTTCTAGTGACAAATCAGCTGTAATTGTTATTGAAGACCCTTTGTACATGATCAGTTTCTTCTCTTTTGCTGCTTTTAAGACTCTCTCTTTCTTAGATGTTTGACAGTTCAGTTATTGTGTCTGAGCTTGTATCTGAGTTTATTCTTCTAAGAGTTTATTGAACTTCTTAGATATACTTTTTTGTAGCATTTTTTCAACTATATCCAATGTCTTGGCTTCTTCAAGGACAGTCTTTGTTGAATACTTTATCTTCAACATAATATACAGGCTATAGTTTTTGTGTTTCTGTCTCATGCTTATTTTTTTTCTTCCTCCTCCTTTCAAGTTAGACATTTAAAATAAATGTGGAAACTCTGGAAATCAGATATTCTCCCTTCCCAGAGTTTGTTATTTATTTAGTGACTTTTTGAAATTAATTCTTTGTTGTGTGGGCACTGCAGCCTCTGCTCACTTTGATTAAATGATTGGATAGAGATTTCCTTAAATTCTTGTACATGATAAATCTCTGAGCTGTTGCTGAGGAGCTCTGTGTACATGTTTGGGCACCTTTAATGCTCTCCCAGGCAGGTGACCATCCTCACTTCACCTCCTGTTCCTGCTACTGGGCCTTCCCAGGTGTTTGAGTGTCTGTATAACCCTGCGCATGTGCATGGCTTTCTGAATTCTGCAGAATACATCAGCACTTTGCAAAGCCCCCTTTGGACATATTCCCTAAATTTCCTTTTAATTAAGCTTTTTGCTTAGCCTATTATTTGCCTCAACTCTTATTATTACTGCCTCAAATACTGAGCTCCGTTTATATCAAATAAAGATCGCCTTGTTAGTAGGGTCTCTCAGGAAATCACCAAATAGATCAAACAATGATAAATTCTCTATTAATGGGGTTTTGAAAGAGCTCCAATATCACCATTTCCCTCCAGCGGCTGCCAGTTTTCACCATGATTGCAAGCTGTGGGTTTTGAAGGCTACTGTGGTGCCAATAGGGCAAGTGAAATGCTATAATGCTCACTTTTCTTACCTAGATTCAGCTGTTGTTTTAAAATAAGCATTCCTATAGTTTCTGTGCTACTTAACTTTTTCAGAACTTTAGAAATTAGATTCTGACCAATTTGCTATTTCTATAGAGGAGGAGATTTTTAGACATCTTTTCTCTGCCATTTTTGATGATGTCCTTTGTCAATGTACTGCTTCTCTGGTACTGGTGAAATTGGGTGTGCCCACAATGATAATGCAAAGTACACTCTACTAAGAGCAGGGACTATAGGTCACTGTGGGATCCACAGGATGACAAAGTCAGCTTACAAAATGAAATAAGCCAGCCAAGTCGGCCCTTCAGGTGTGTCATCTGTGGAGCTCGGTGATGCTCTAGTGCAGTTAGTTCTCAACCTTTTTAATGCCACAACCCTTTAATACAGTTCCTCATGTTGTGGTGACGCCTCTATAGTAGCGGTTCTCAGCCTGTGGGTCATGACCTGAGAATCACTAGCACGGTCGCCTAAGACCATCAAAAAACACAGATATTTACATTATGATTCATAAAAATAGCAAAATTATAGTTATGAAGTATCAAGGAAAATAATTTCATGGTTGGGGTCACCACCACATGAGGAACTCTATTAAAGGGTTGCGGCATTAAAAGTGTTGAGAACTGTTGGTCTAGTGTGTCTGAAGCAGGCTTCCGGGTATTTTGGTTCTGCAGCCTTTTAAGAGGGGCTCCAGTTCAGGCCAAGATCAGCCATCAGTTGTGCTCTGCTTGAGACCTCCTGGTGGGAGCTGCATAGTAATCTGTGGTGGGTTGCTAATTGGAGATGCTGTGTTATGAACCATGACTAGTTGCCACTAGTACCAGACTTGGGACCCCTTGGTGAGCACTTTGATATGAGCTGAGTTCAACCACCACTTGTGCTGCTGGACTCATAGCTGCTCACTTGAAGTTGGGTTCCAAGCTGACATTGGCTACAGCTATGCCAGGCTTGGGGCCACCTGATGGAGTGACAATAGAAGCTGAGACTGTTCAAGGCAGGTTTGGTTTCCATTTAGCCAGAGGCACATGGCATGCTGAAGCCAGTCCCTTCTTGGTTGGGGTTTGTGGACCTTTGAAAGTCTGCAGCATGAGCTGCGGGGGTGCTTGCATAGTTTTAAAAGCCACTTAAAAAGGTTCAGTGGGGCACCTGAGTTGGGTAGAGTGAATGGTGTTACCCAGGTTACTGAATAGCTAAGATCTGATGCCAGCAGAGTGGGAGGAGCATTTAACAAAGGAGCAATGGTGCCTGCCAGCATTTCCATCTCAGGAGAGGGCTGCCCCTGCAGTCCTCATCCTGGATCCCAGAGGGGCTGAGTTTTTGAGCAAGTGAGTCTGTGCACAGGCCCCTAAAGAGAAATACCTGGGACTCCTGCAGCCTTCCATCTCATTTGGATGCAATCCCCACTTGTTTTCACAGCCAGATGGTATGTGGACACCTCTTCCCAGCACTGGTGCCCTCGACTAAGGAATCCAGTGTGGAGCTACACTCCTCAGTGGGAACCTCTGCTGCCAAGATATCCCTCTGATTCTTAATTGCCACAACATTTTTAATGTTGATGTGTTTGTAGGAGGTGGTGATCACAGGGGTTACTCTGCCATCTTGACCAGAAGTCCACATTTCTTGACGTTGAATGAGTCTGTGGGCTCAGTTAGATGATGGCAGGAACTGAGGTAATCAGAGTTACATGGGTATTAGGGTCGGAAAATGGGTTCCCAGTACCTTCTGGGAGAATATAATATATTTCAATTCCTATGTCTGGACTTAGCACAAGACACAAGAACAATATCTTCACTGACCATCACCTAGCTATGAGGTCTCCTTTCTCTGAACTGGACTTACAATCAGCATTTCTTTTGTGTATTCTTTGATTTTCTTTTATGTATTCTTTGAATGTGAGATCAGAGTTCTTCAACTAAATACCAAACTCTGGCATGCAGAGAGCAGCCTTAACTATGCAATTTCTTACAATTATTGACACCTCACCACCTAGTCCAGCAGGTCTCAACCTCTTCCACTATAACACATGCTATCCCAGTGACAGTGTCCCATGGGTATCTCAGGTCTTGATGAGGCCTCAAAAATTAATAACTGATCACACCTTGTAAGTACTACAGTAATCAGCACAATTACTACTGATGCACCAGCCATCATTCCCCACCTAAGGTGGTTATGGCATAGGTGCTGTCCAGTAAGGGTAATTCTCAACATCCTAACATCCTACCCTGTTTCCCCGAAAATAAGACAGTGTCTTAGATTAACTTTTTCTCCCAAAGTTGTGCTAGGTCTTATTTTCAGGGGATATCTTATCTTTCCATGTGCTAGGTCTTATTTTAGGGGAAACACAGTAGCTCTAACTTTCTCATCCTGTTTAGAAAACATATCAGAGTATGAGTGGCATTATTTCAGTGATTACCTTGCATTCATATTAATCATTTACTTAAATCATTTTTAAATGTCAGTACTTTGCAATGAGGAAAAATTTTTCAAAAGCCCATCTCACAATTGTTCGAAAACATCAGTGCCTTAATCATGCATTTAATGCTCCCATGGTGGAAAGGTTGAGGAGATAGATCAGAGTGTCTACAGATGATGTTTACATTGATGACCTGTTATGCTTGTTATCAGTAACCTGACGTTTTTGATAGTGATTTGAGTGCATTTCTTTTTCCCTGGAAGACTTTTATTCTATTACAGTCACTATGCAAATACATTGGGTTTGTATTCTGGCTTAAACACTTGGTAGTGTGTTATTTTTATAGTTTGGCAAATGAGTTAATTTCTCTGTCCTCAGTTTTCACATCTTTAAAAATAGTCTAATTATTCTGTATATATCATAGGCTTATTTTAAGGATTAAATTAATGTCACATGCTTACACAGTGTTATAAATCCATTATATATCTCAATAATATTGGAACCAAAAAGTCAAAGAGATGCACTTATCCTAGTAATGAATAAGTGCTCAATAAATCTTCATTGCTAGTATAAATATCACTATACTCACAGGTCATTTTATGATGCAGATGTTTTTCTTTTTTCATATAATGTCATTGAGATGTATTTCATAGGCTATAGCAGTGGTTGGCAAACTCATTAGTCAACAGAGCCAAATATCAACAGTACAATGATTGAAATTTCTTTTGAGAGCCAAATTTTTAAAACTTCTTCTAATGCCACATCTTCAAAATAGACTCACCCAGGCCGTGGTATTTTGTGGAAGAGCCACACTCAAGGGGCCAAAAAGCCACACGTGGCTCGCGAGCCACAGTTTGCTAATCACAGGGCTATAGCATACATTTTAAGTTGCTTTTATTTGGAAATGGAAGATTTTTCACAGAATCAGCCATACCATCTCTTTGATTTTTTGGTTTCAATATTATTGAGATATATAATAGGCTTATAACACTGTGTAAGTTTAAAATGTACAAAAGGATCATTTGATTCATGTATGTATTGTGAAATGTTTACCACCATAAGGTTTGTGAACACAATCTGTACTTCAAGTAATTACCATTTTGTTGTTGCTATGGTGAGAAAATTAAGGCTCTACTCTCATAGCAACTCCCCTGGGTACCATACAGTACCAGTAACTATAGGCATATGGTGTCCCTTAAGTCCCCAGAACTCATTCATCCTATAACTGAAGTTTTCCCTCTTTGACCATAATCTTTGATTTCTCTTGATGAACAGAAATGTGATTGTTAACTTTATCCTCATTATCACTGTTACAATTAATACCACTTATTGGGTGCTGGTCTAGGCACTTTGTACATATTAACTTGTTGAATCACCCTCTCAGGCAGTAATATTATTACCTCCTTTTTTGCAGATGAGAAAGAAAAAATGAGGCACAAGCTATTGTAGAAACTTAATCAAACGGCTAGTAAGTGCCAAAGGTAGGATTCTCCATACTCACTCTTCTGGCTTCAGCAATGCAAACATAACCTCTGTACTCTATGCATCTCACAAGTAAACACAAACATTATAACTTACAGGGTTACACCTACAGGGAGCACACAACCCACTTTGAAGATGAATCTGCAACTGTGATGTCATTTCCACCAATCTCTGGTGACAAACAACTATGAAGATTCAGTCACCCAACAAATGTCACTTAGTGTTTCCAGCACTGGCCTAAGCTCTGGGATTTAGCAGTGAAGGAAGCGGACAAAACCTCTGCTTTCAAGGAACTTGCATCTTATACTCATTTAGGAGAGCAGGCAGAATGCCAAGTGCATAAATAAATGATGTGTTATGGTAATGGACAACCAGTGACATGGAGAAAATAACTCGGGGAATAAATTTTGTATGGATATGTGGGCGGTCAGTTTTAAATAGTTAGAAGGCATCACTGAGATGGAACCATGTGAGCAAAGACCTAAAGGAGGAAATGGGAAACAACCATATGGATATCCAGAGAAAGAGGATGGTGTGCAGAGAGAATAGCAATGAGACCTAGCAAGGAAGCTATTACATCTCAGAGTGATTCAGAGATGAGACCAGAGATTTGGAGGGGGAATGGGACATGTCATGAAGACCTTTGCAAGGGACTTCTTGTTTTCTGAGTTAGATGGGAAGCCATCAAAGGATTTTAAGCAGAGTGACAGGATCTGACTGGCAAATGTTCAAGTATCATATGACAGGTGTATTGAGACTGAGATGCAGGCAGGCATGTAGGAGGCAATTGTAGTAATTTAGGTAAAAATCTACTGACATTGCTAATGGTAGGATCAGCACTGGTGATAAGTGGAAGAGTGTAAATATACACTGAAGATGGAGCCAATAGAATTCTGGAAAGAGTAGAGGTGGAGTATGGGAGAAATAAAGAAGTCAAAGATGACTTCATGGTTTTGGCTTGAGCAGCTGGAAGGATGGAGTTGCCATCAACTGAGATGTAAATAATTGCAGATTTGGCAAAGATTTGGGGGGGGGGGCAAGGGAGATGTCAGTAGAATGGCTATTCAGCACTCTATATTTATCTATAATATGCTGAAGGAATAAATTATTGAATCATCTCTAGAAGGGAGTGAGCATAGACAGAAAAGAGAAGTCACCTAGGAATAAGTTTCCAAGACTTCATAAAAATTCAGGGAATTGAAGAGAAACCAGCCAATGATAATGTGAAGGAATGGACAGAAAATAAGGAAGAACACCAGGAGAGTACATTCCTGGCAGCAAAATGTAGAAAATGTTGCAAGAAAGGGGGAGTAATAGTTATCAAATGCTGCAATGTACAGGTGACCATTAGAGGAACAGGGTCTGGAGTGGTGGTATAAAAGCTTCATCAGGATTGGTTCGAGAGAGAATTTGAGAAGAGAAATTGGAGACAAGAATCATTAACAAGTCTCTTGAATAGTTTTGCTATAAAGAAGAGCAGGAAAATGAAGTCAGCAGAAGTTCTTCAAGGTGGGGGAAGCCAGTATTGTGCAAGCCAGAATGGTGGGAAAGATCCAACAGCAAAAGGGAGATAATGTTTCAAAAGGGAATGGGGCCTGGTGCACAGTTAAAGGTGTTGGTTTTTTGTGGAAGTACAGAGGACTTATTTCAGGGGCAGAGATCTGGGGTCAAATCTCAGCCCAGACATGTCCTCACTAGGGATCTTTGTGGTGCCTGAAAAATATTCAGCACAGGACTCCATTAGCTGATTTTATGAGACAAAATGAAGCTTAACAGTTTTGCTCACAACAAAAGAGAAAGTTTGAGCAGCTGACTTCCCGAATTGGATTAATTGACTACAGCATGATTGTCTAAACCTTGAGTTAATACGCCTCCCACTGCCATATTTTCCTGGGGCACTATCAGATTTGTGCATTTTGCACACACTCCGCCTCATCCATGACATGGACTGCCCAGGAAAGTAATTATTCCAACAAACTAAGCTGCAGGAAAAGATAAACTGCTTAGAGGATTAAAGCTGCATATTTTATATAACCCGATGGCACGCACATCCTGGTTCTGCTTGTTGCATTGTCTCAGCCATCTCTCCAGGACATCTAGTGCCATAGCTTTCCCATCAGCATCTTCCTGTCTCTGGTGGGAAATAGACGTGGAGAACATCTCCTCTGGCACCACGGTCCCCTGTCTCTAGGAGATGAGCTACGGGATACCCACCTCTCACAAAGACACGGGGGCTGTGTCAGTTTAATAGACTGGAAAAATAATTGAGAGAGAAAAGCGACAATTCTTCCCTCCCTCTGGGGAAAGGAAAGATGGGGTTTCATTAAGGGCTCCAGGGCCTAGGAGCAGGTGGCTGTTATTCCCAAGGCTTTCTTGTTGGCAACCTTTTTGTACTGAGGTTAATAAAAGAGGCAAGTAGTGTCAGGAGCCTTGGCCATGGGAGTGGCCTTTCTAGCTTAGCAGAAACTGGCAGTTGTGTGAAGGAAAAGTGTGCTGATTAGATTGTCTAGATCAGTGGTTGGCAAACTCATTAGTCAACAGAGCCAAATATCAACAGTACCATGATTGAAATTTCTTTTGAGAGACAAATTTTTAAACTTAAACTCCTACTAATGCCACTTCTTCAAAATAGACTCGCCCAGGCCATGGTATTTTGGCCCCTTGAGTGTGGCTCTTTCACAAAGAGCCACATGTGGATCCTGAGCCGCAGTTTGCCGACCACAGGTCTAGATGGTTGTCAG